GTTTACTATTAAAATGTGGAAAAATCCCAAGATGGTGTTTATTCTTACAGTGGTGGTTTCTCTTCACCCTGGGCCTGCCTTTGTTCCTTTGAGACCCTGTGGACTTAGGATTCTTTAGGTTGTGTGATGGAAAACCCGGCTCAGACTGGCTTTAGTGAAAAAGAGAGTAGCTTTGTAGTTATCGAGGAGGGCTGGCTCCATAGTGGATTTGGAACTTGGTCTCTCTCTGTCTGGTCTGTTCTCTGCCATGTTGGCTTTATTTTCCATTTCTAGAAGGTAGTAAGATGCCTTTCTTCATCTGGGTCTCAAGGCCAGTGTGCGTGGGCAGGGCATGTACTGCCCCTTTTCCTGCCTTCCTGGCAAAGGGTCACTGGCCCTGATTGGTCACGTGCCCTCCCAAACTCCACCCCATTGCCATGGCCTGGTGGTTGCAACACACTGATTGGCTCCATGTTCACTCCTGGAGCTGGGGCTGCGGTCAGTGGTCAGGCCTTCTCAACCACAGGGACCGTGTGGGCGGGGGATTCACCGAGGCCACTGAGCTACAGATGCCCAAAGGAGGGAGGAGAAGGATGCTGGCCTGCCCCAAACCAACACATGTCCCGAAGGAGTCGCGATTTAGAAAGAGTTTGTTAGACGTGTGCCCAGATCAGCTTGACATAGGAACATGTATTAAGTGACAAGTTCTGGAAAGTATAACAAGAGTTTCTTGGTGCTAAAGTAAAGTGGAGGCGAAGTCTGGTGGGGGCGTGGAGTGGGTTTGCAGTTGGGTGCGAGTGGGAAGTAGCAAGGTGGGGCAGGCACCTTGCCTCTTGGCAAGCACGAGGGGGTTCAAGGTGACCTGCCAGGGAGGGTGGCGCTGGGGCAGCCCTTGGCTCTCTTTTGAGCAAATCAGGAACGATATGCACTCACTGTGCCCTTCGAGTTTTCTGAGTTGACTCCACAATCTAAGCTCTTAAGCCCCATGCGCTCTCCCCTCATGGCGCATTTCAGACCATGAGTAGTCAGGTAGCACTTTGACTTAACCATGTGGGAGGAGGTGCAGATGGCCAGCCATCTAGTCATGGGGCTGCCCGCCTTCAGACCCCGGCTCTGCCACTTACTAGCCACATGGCTGTGGGGACGTCCGCCTCTCTGAGCCTATTTCCTCAGCTGTGAAACAGAGGTGACAGCAGTGCCTTCTAGGGTGATTTGTGTGTTTTAGATGCCATCATATGTGTAAATTGCCTAGCCAGCACCCTGGAAGAGCTCATTGTGGACTGTTACTAACTTGAAAAGATGCGTTAGAGTGTCCACACTCAGAGAAGAGAGAGCAGGACGTGGCAAGGTTATCTAGGCTTTGGGCTGTGTCTGGTTTTCCGCCATCTCACGTTCTCCTTCTCTGAGACAGGAGGGCACATTCTCTGACCCCAGGACTGTTAGGCCCAGGCATCTGAGGGTCTGTGGGAAACGCTGATCGACTCTGTTTATACGTTTTCCTGCTTCTGACTTGCACAGCTGGTAAAGGAAGGGTTCGCCTTTTAACTTGAGAACTATGTGAAGACCCCCCTGCCATCCCACCCCACCCGATGCCAGTCCTCCATTGCCTGGTTTCCCTCCGCCCACCTGCCAGCCGACGGAGAAGCTCGTCAACGCAGCCAGTGGGCCTCTGCCAGGCACCAGTCTGAGTCTCTTTAAACTTCTCAACGAGTCTCGGTTTTCCCTTATTAACACGCCCAACAGTGAAACAGCAGAAATTACTCTTCTTTTGTGAAGGGTGTTGTGTCTCAGAGAGTTGATTGTTTGAAATGTAATTTTTCTGGCTCATTATGTCAAAACTGGCTTTTGAAGCATGCATGAGGACTCTTGCTAATGGCCTTTTGGATTAGTCAGGGTTCTCCAGAGAAACGGAACCAAGAAGAGATATATATATATATTTATTATAAATAATTGGCTCATGTGATTGTGGAGGCTGACAAGTCCCCAGATTTGCAGGGTGAGTGGGCAAGCTGGAGACCTAAGAGAGCCAATGGTGTAAGTTCCAGTTCCCAGGCTGGAAGGCTTGAGATCCAGGAAGAGCTAATGTTTCAGTTTGAGTCTGAAGACAGGAAAAAAACAAAGGAAAAGGATGTCCCAGCTCAAAGGCAGTCAGACAGGAGGAACTCTCTTATTCATGAGAGGATCAGTCTTTATTCGTTGTATTCAGGCCTTCAACTGATTAGATGAGGCTCACCCACATTGGGGAGGATTATCTGTTTTACTCAGTCTACTGATTCAAATGTTAATCTCTTCCAGAAATACCCTCACAGACACACCCAGAAATAATGTTTGACCAAACATCTGGGCACCCCTGGCCCAGTCAAGTTTACACATAAAATTAAGCATCACACCTTTGGTGTAATCTCAGGGCTGACAATTATTTTCTGAGGTGACGTGGTTGGAATGGCCAGCATTAAAGCATGTGGGCCATGACGTTCTAGATGCTGGGGTTGTTTTCCAGCTTCTCCCGTGGGTAACTCTTCATGGGTCTTATTTTGAGCTCAGTATGTTAATTTTCTCATCACAAGACTCTGAGGCAGGAAGACTCTGAATCAGGAAGAAGAAAGGTGATTTTATGGGTCATCAGGATCCACTCCCATGAAGCAGGGCTGAAGTCAGAGCCTCCAGAACCTTCTTCCAAGGTCAGCAGTCAGTCCTGCCCCAGGGCCAATGACTAAATGAGGTTTCAAGTTTCAAGTGCAAGACGAGGTTTTTGAATCAGATTTTGCATTTTCTGGGCTTCATGATATCTGAAAAAGAGTTACAAACAGGGCTTTGACTCGTCAGTGTGAAACCGTCTGGGCGTCAGTCTCTCCAGTCGTCCACAGGGCCTTCCTCAAGTCCTGGGTTCACGGGACGGCTCCTTTTGTGACGCTGCAGATGCTTGTTCAGAGGTGTGTTGGGAATGGGCGGCCCGGGCACGTGGCAGGGTCAACAGAGGGGCACACCCCACTCCTTTGCAAAGCCAGGTGCTCCCTCCGAATCATCTGGGTGGAGCTATGGGGCCGTTTTCCTGAGAAAGGTGTGGGGCGTGAGTCTGCATGGATGGGGAGTTTGCTTCTAGTCTCGAGAGCTTGAGGATGGGTGGTTTCCTTATGCCTTTGTCTTGGGTTGCTTGTGGCAGATGGAGCTGTTTCTGGGCTTAAATTTCCCCCGTCCGGCATTGGAGATGGAATTGGTCAGGGACTGTGTCATCTAGGGCAGAATGCAAAGATTTATTTTACTCCTTTCGGGGGAGGTGGAGAAAAAGAAGAAGCTGTTGATGGTGAGCATGTGGGACCAACAGTGTTTATAAGGTGAGCATTTACACTCCTGCACAAAGCCTGCTTCCAAAATACCGTTGTCCCAGGGCCACTTGGGAGGCGACTGGCTGTGCTCCTCCCACCTCCGACCACCAGGCTTGGCGTCTGCACCGCGCTTCCTCCTGTGTTCGAAATCCAAGCAGTCACATGCCCCATGCCTCTGAGTGTGTGTGTGTGTGTGTGTGTGTGTGTGTGTGTGTGTACCTGTGATGAAAGCAGGAGGGACACATCGAGGCTTGGAGATCATCAGTTTTATAGGTGGTTTCTCCCTGTCTTCCAAAGTCTCCACCCAAAGAACCACGAGGAGCAGGTACTAGAGGTTGTATAGGTTGCTTTACGCCAAAGATGCAGATAAATATATATATTTTTTATGTAAATGACACTTTCATAGATCACGTTTCTGGTAAATCATACTAGGTAAGATGAGAGCAAGTGGCTGTTGCTAAGAAATCGTTAGGAAACCTGAAGGTGAACTTCTGTTTTCATTATTCTGCAAACTTATTGGAGTTTCTGCGTGCTGAGGACAAAGAGATCTCGTTTGTGTCCTCGATGTGGTCTCCATCCGGGAACGGCTTGCAGTCTGCAGGAAGAATGTTTAGAGAATGTGATTCTTCAGTGCCCTAGTTATGATTTTTAGGGTTGACTGGTTCTCAGATATACTTAAAAAGGAGGGACACTAGAGAATACAAGACATTTGGGGCAAAGTTCAAGATAGTGCAGAAATGAATGCAAAGAGCATCAGTAGTCATGATGATAGTAGTATTCCTGATGGCGTCATAAACTTTAAGCCAGGCCCGACAAGTACTGCATCCTTCATGCAGAGGGACTGATGCCAGCGGCTGAAGTGGCTGTCTCAGCACTGTCCCTGGGGCCCACCCCACAGTGATCCTCTGCCATCCCAGAGGTAAAAGCTCAGTGTTGTAATTCGCTGTCCTCGTAGATCCTCATGATGGATACAATGTTGACTGATTTTTACAACTCCTTGTCATACGAGAGAGACTGTAGTACTTCTGTTTATTACTTTTACTAACAGTGATTTTTGCCGAGAGCCCCGTGTGTAGGCTTGTAAAATGCATCATCTCATTTAATCCTCCCTCACCTGTGAGGGACAAATACTATTCTTATCCCATTTCATTTATGAGGAGACTGAGGCTTGGGGGGATTAACTGACTTGCCCATGATCACACAGGTAGAGTGTGCCCGAGCCCTGATCCTAATCCCACCTGGCCGGCCCACACCGCAGCGCCCTCAAGGCCAGGCTTGGAGCAGAGACCCGCAGACACAGCAGGGCTGGGTGGAGGGTGAGGGGCAAGGGGAGGAGGGGGCAGGTGTGTCGTGCCTGTGCAACTGCAGGGCTAGGTCCTGTGCTTCTTGAACATTTTGATCTTTTGCTCCTCGTGGATTTTCTTTGCATTAATTTTGCCTTTTTATAATGTTGCATTTGGGTATTATTTATCTTGATTACTGGGGTTTTCAGTGCTCAGAGCAGGGGTAATCATCTTCGCTTTGTGGGTGAGGACCACGAGGGTCAGGGAGGTCAGTAACCCGCCCGAGGTCCCATGGCTGGAGGTGGGGGAGCTGGGGTATTCGCAGGTCTCCTGGGAGCCTGGCTGGAGGCAGCAGCGTGGTTTCCCTCGTGAGGATCGTGGAGTTCTCAGGAATGTGCTTCTCCCCTTCCAGGTCGGGAAAGAGGTTGAAGAAGACCCGCAAGTATGACATCATCACCACTCCAGCCGAGCGAGTGGAGATGGCCCCGCTGAATGAGGAGGATGACGAGGATGAGGACTCCACAGTGTTTGACATCAAATACAGGTGCGGGGTGACGGTGGCTTCCTTCTGGGCTCTCGGGCTTGGGGTGGTGGGACCGTTCATCTTTGAAAATACCACGAGGTCAGGCGTGTATTCTTGATCGTTCGCTAAGTGTTTGACCTTAGGGCGTACTGCTTATGAGGGAACTGCTCTAATCCCTTCCTAGAGCACTCAGCACCCAGAAAGCCAGCAGAGAAATACTTACAGAGAAACGAGTATTCCCTGCTTTTCCCACATGCTCACACTGAGAAGTGAGCTTTACAGGAGGAAAAGGAGGGCTGGATTTAAGACAATGAGCTTGTCGTGCACTGGCTGTGGGGGTCTGGTCCGAGCAACCGCGTGTGCCACACACCCTGCACGCAAGTGGAAACTTCTCTTTCAGCCTCACTGGAGTCAATAGCCAAGAGCGTGGGGTGGTAGAGGGGATTATTCCTTGGATGAAATTTACCGGTGAGCTCCAAAGACAGGTGTGTTTCCTAAAGGAAGGTCAGAGTAACTTTGTGACTTCAGGATTGTAGTGTGGGTTTTGGGATCCTCTTGGGATGTACTTTGCATATGTTAGATTCTCAATGTAAGAGCTGGGGGTGAGCGTAGTTTAGAGATGAGGGCTCAGAGCCCACAGAGGGGAAGTTGCTTGCCCAGGGTCCCAGTTATTAGTAACAAAGAGGAGACACAAATCCAGGCTGGATCCAATCCCGCGCTTTCTCCTCCACGGTTCTCCAGAGAAACAGAACCACTAGATATAGACCTGTATACAGTAAGAGATTTATTATAAAGGTCCAAGTCTGAAGGCCTGAGAATCAGGAGAGCCAATGGCGTAAGTTCCAGTCTAAGGGCAGGAGAAGACGAATGTCCCAGCTCGAAAAGAGTCCGTGAGAGAGAGAGCGAATTCTCCCTTATCCCACCTTTTGCTCTGTTCAAGCTTCCAACGGATTGGATGACGATCCAAGAAGAGCTAAGGTTTCAGTTTGAGTCTGAAGGCAAGGAAAAAAAACAATGTCTGAGCTCAAAGGCAGTCAGGCAGGAGGAACTCTCTCTTATTAGTGTGAGGGACAGTCTTTATGTTCCTTTCAGGCCTTCAACTGATTGGATGAGGCCCACCCACACTGGGGAGAGCAATCTGCTTGCTCAGTTTACAGACAATTGTTAATATCATCCAAAACACCCTCCCAGACCACCCAGAATAATGTTTGACCAAATATCTGGGCTCTGTGTGACCTGGTCAAGTTGACACATAAGGTTAACCATCACATGTAGCTTTTCTATACTAGGGAAGGCAAGTCTTCCATACCTCTCCTGACTTATTCTTTTTCAGCACAGCCTTGGCTGTTCTTAGCCCTTGACCCTTCTGTGTAAATCAGGTGTCAGACTCAACAAAACAGTGTTTGGGATTTTGATTAGAACTGCATAGACTCTGTAGATCGATTTAGAGAGAATCAACCCCTTTATGTTGATTCTTCCAATCCATGAACATGGAATGACTTTCCATTTATTTAGGTATTTTTAAAAACATCTTTCAGTACTTTCAAAAATTTCTCCATAAATGTATTATAAATTTTTGTTAGATATATTCCCAAGTGTTTTACATTTTGAGATATATATATTAACTTTAAAAAATGTTATTTTAGGGCCAGCCCCGTGGCTTAGTGGTTAAGTGTGCGCGCTCAGCTACTGGCGGCCCGGGTTCGGATCCTGGGTGCGCACTGATGCACTGCGTCTCTGGCCATGCTGAGGCCGCGTCCCACATACAGCAACTAGAAGGATGTGCAACTATGACATACAACTATCTACTGGGGCTTTGGGGATAAAAAAAAAGGAGGAGGATTGGCAATAGATGTTAGCTCAGAGCCGGTCTTCCCCAGCAAAAAGAGGAGGATTAGCATGGATGTTAGCTCAGGGCTGATCTTCCTCACACACACACACACAAAAAATGCTATTTTATTTATACTCATGTCTGAAAAAAATGAATGTATTATTCTGTTTGCATACATAGCACTATTGGAAACAGAGTTTGTTAATAAATCACACCTAAATTTCATAAAGAACATACAAACATTAGAACACAGATCGATTATAGATAGAGTAGGGGAACAAGCCTTTAGCTGTAATTTGCATTTTAGATAAAGAGCAGCAACCTTTGAGAAGAATCAGAACAATTAGTAATATTCATCCATACTGCAGAATAATATATACATAAGAAAGTGATTGTATTGATTTTATTGCTAAGCCATTTTATGTGTCTCACATTCAATGCACAGAAATAAAACATAATGTGAAGAAAACTCTGTCCTCATTATTAGTCACAATAAAAAGTGTCGGCTGGGTCCTGCAGGCCTGGGAGTGTTGTGTAGTAGAGAGCACTTGATGGCTGAAGTGGATCCACGTACTGTTTTGATTCTGGGCCGCTGAATAGGATCTTGTCCATATTTGGTGACTGAACTGACTCCATGGAGCTGTGATAGACTGAGCCATTTGTGCGGTCGCCTTAGATCTCACCAAATAAGTAAAGACCCTAAACAAAGAAATATTATAGTCTGTCCGGAAATTCTATTTATAGGCTCTTTCTTGAGTGTAAGGTGGAAAAAGGGGCCCTTCCGTGAGTACATGGTACAGGTATTATTGTGGTCTAAAGACTGCTGGATTGATATTGGGTCTGCTATAATGAAGATAAAGTGCAGATCGAAATCACTGTCAGATTAAGAAACTTCCACAGCTTGTCTCAATCCTTCAAACAGTGGAGCAAGTTCCTTTTCCAGGCTGACAATCAGTGCTGTGTTGGCTTTGCTGCTGGCTATGAAACTCATCACTAAAGGCAAACATCTACATGGAACCACCTGGTAGGTGTTAAAGGAACAGACACTACTTTTGTTTTTTGCAAGTCCGAGTTTACTGCCTGGTCTGTTGCAAGGGCAAAAGCGAGTGAGAAACCGGGTCTCGAAGCGCGGTCTGGAGCATTTTCATTGGCCCCTGCAATAACAGCGCTCCATCTCCGTGTGACCCGACAATAGCTTGGACCCCTTCCACACGTGGTCATTTTTAACACAGGAAGCGCTTCAGGTCCCTCAGGTGCCTTGGTGTTTCTCCTCTACCCTTATTCTAGGCAGAAACTCAGGACCCGGCAAATTCACCCAGATCATCCCCCGTAATGAACCCCCGTGTCTGGCAGGATCAGTCTCCGTGCCTGGGTTTCTGCTTCCAGGGCTGCTGGCTCCTCTCTGCTGTCACTTTGGGGACTGCTTCAAAGACAGGCTCCTCTGCAAACTGCTGTCACACGATGCGTGACCTCGTCTCTGATATATTTTTAAAAAGATATCCTTTTCTAACTTTTTGTTCATGGTGTCTAGAAATCCAGTTTGATTTTTTAAAATATTGATTTTTTAAATCCAGCAACCTCACTAAACTCTTATTAATTCTAGTAGTATAAATGAGGATTCTTTTGGGTTTTCTGTATAGATGTATCGTCTGAGACTAGTAAGAGTCCCCCCACCCTCTTGGCCCCCAGTCCTTAAACATTTTCTCTCTTTTTTTAGCCTTTTTGTACCCTTGGCCTCTAAGTCATTGTTAGTGGAAGTGATGATAGTAGGCGTCCTGTCTCATTCTTAATATTAAAAGGTATGCTTTCAGTACTGACCACTGAGAGTAGTGCTTGCTATGGGGTTTATAGATTTTATTTTTTCCAGAAAGTTTCTCTCTTCCTAGTTTGCTGATGTTGAATTTTATTAAATGTTTTTTTCTAGCTCTATTGAGAGGATCATATTTTTTCCTTTAATCTGTTATGGTGGTGCAATTATATTCATTGATATTTCTAATATTAAACCAAATTGCATTTCTGAGATCAAATGATCTGGTGTGTTATCTTTTTACGCACATTGCTGTATTTACTTTGCTGATATTTTGTTTAGGACTTTCTTGTTTCTCTTAATGTCCGAGACTGGTTTGTCATTTTCCTATTTTGTAATACCCTTATCAGGCTTTGGTAAAAGTTTTATTAGCCTCATAAAACCAGCTGAGGGGTGTTCCTTATTTTCCTTTTCTCTGGAATAGTTTGTATCAGATTAGAATTATTTGTTTCCTAAATGTTTAGAATGTGCTAAAACTGGCTTGGCCCTGATGCTTTCTTTATACAAAGGTTTTAAAAAAGTGTTGATGCTCAATTCTTTGAATAGTTATGGCACTATTTAGTCTTTATTTCTTCTTGGGTCAATTTCGATGGGTTATGTTTTTCGGGGGTTTGTCCATTTCATCTAAGTTTTTAAATGTATTCTCCTAAAGTTGTTCACAACATTCTCTTATTATCATCTTTTTAATCTTTGTAATATGTAGTAGTCGTGGTCCCCTTTTCATTCTTAATATTGATTATGTTTGTCTTTTCTCCTTTTTCTTGATCAATCCTGCTGGAAGTTTAATTTTATTCATCTACATAAAGAACCAATTTTTGGCTTCTTTGATCCTCTCTATTATATTATCATTTCAATTTCTTTTTTGTTTCTTTTTGCAGGGTAAGTGTCACCCTGAGCTAACATCTGTTGCCAATCTTCCTCTTTTTTTCCCCTCCCCAAAGCCCAGTGCATGGTTGTGTGTCCTAGTTGTAAGTCCTTCTAGTTCTTCTGTGTCAGCCGCCACCACAGCATGGCTACTGACAGACGGGTGGTGTGGTTCTGCGACTGGGAGATGAACCCCGGGCTGCCGAACCAGAGCACCAAACTTTAACCATTAGGCCATCAGGGCTGGCTCTCATTTTCGATTTCGGTTGATTTCTGCTTCTCTTCCTTAAGCTGTGTTCTGTTCTTTTTTCTGACTTCTTCCATTGAATATTTAGCTCAATCACTTCTGGCCTTCTTTTCTGGTGTAAGCATTTATTCTGTAGCTTTCTCTGCTTCAGCTGCCTCCCCCAGGCTTTCCTGATCACTGCCAGGCACTCTCAGGCCTCGCAGTTTGTTGTGAAGAATTGGACTTCACGTTAGAAGTCTGTGTTGTTTGTGGTTGGAATACAGTCGTGTGCC